TAAAGCGGTTTAAAAAAAAAAAAAAGCAAAGAAAGTAATCTGTTAAGTGATTTCTTGGAGTGCAGACTGTCAGCTTCCTTTGGAGCTATAAACTGTAACTTTCCCTAAATTTTTTTTTACATTTTTATTTATTTCTGAGAGAGAGAGAGAGACAGCGTGAGCAGGGGAGGGACAGAGAGAGGGACACACAGAATCTGAAACAGGCTCCAGGCTCTGAGCTGTCAGCACAGAACCCAACGCAGGGCTCAAACCCACGAACCGTGAGATCATGACCTGAGCCGAAGTTGGATGCTTATAACCGACTGAGCCACCTAGGCGCCCCTATAAACTGTAACTTTCTCTAAACTTGGAACTGCCTTTATGTTTACCGTTGGTTTGGTTAAGCTAAACAGGGATGCAGACTTTCGCTTCATCAGGGACTTCTCAGGAGGCCCCAGGGAGATGCTGGTAAAGGGCCTGTAACAGAAGCAGCGTGGGCACCAGTGGATGTACTTCCTTCCTTCGAAAGCTGAGGAAGGGGGCGCCCTGGGGCTCAGTCAGTTAAGTGTCGGACTTCGGCTCAGGTCATGATGTCATGGTTAGTGGGTTTGAGCCCTGCGTTGGGCTCTGTGCGGACAGCTCAGAGCCTGGAGCCTGCTTTGGATTCTGTGCCTCCCTCTCTCTCTGCCCCTCCCCCACTTGCACTCCTGTTTCTCTCTCTCTGTCTCTCTCTTGTTCTCAAAAATAAACATTAATTTTTTAAAAATAAAGCTGAGGAGGAACTTCTATGCATGTCCTGGCTTAGCTGGTTCCCTCCGATAATTTCTACCCTTTTAAATTGCCTAGATATTAGGGGAAAAATACCACATCTTAATATACTTTCTTTTGTTCCCATGGAAAAAATAGGAGTGCACTGATTATATCTTCCTTCTCCAGGGATTTAACAGTAAAATTAAATAATTACTTTAAGGGGTAATTAAAGTAATTACTCAGTTGGTGAAGAGTTGGACTTTGGCTCAGGTCATGATCTCATGGTTCGTGGGTTCAAGCCCCGCGTCAGACTCTGTGCTGACAGCTCAGAGCCTGGAGCCTGCTTCTGATTCTATATCTCCCTCCCTCTCTCTGATCCTCCCCTGCTCATGCTGTCTCTCTCTCTCAGAAATAAGTAAAACATTAAAAAAATTTTAAAAATAATACTTTAAACATGGTAACATGGCTAAAAAAAGATACCTAATATATAAAATCCTAGAAGATAGCATCCCATAAAGACCTCTCACATAATGAATCCCTTAGGAACTTCTTTCAGCCTTATTTCTAAAGCTCCTAAGTCACCTCCTAGAATGAATGACTGTACTGACGATGGATATACAACACTGATGTGTCCCTCGCATACGTTAAGTGACAGCAGGGAGGTAAGTGTTCTAGTGTTCTGCCACTACCGACAGCTGTCCAGACCTGGGCGACCTGCCCAACCTCTTTGCACCTCATTTCCTAACCAATGAAGGAACCGGACAAACTGTAAGGATCCTTCACACTCTATGATTCTATTAATTTTGTAGACACCAAACACACTGCCGTATTTTATAAACCATGCTGCGCTGCACACACTAAGCAGACTTGTAGCTACTGCTTCTAAGAGCAGCTCATACACTTGAAACAGTATTTGCTCTGGTGCTGTGGACGTGAACGTGAAGACACGGGAACTCGGGGAACCTGGCCGATTTTACCACACCATGTAAGTCAGGAATACACAGACATCACGATGCCTTATAAAAACGAACTGGTGAATATCACGTTGAGCAAATAGCTCAGGACCGAGCAAACTGCAATCTGCCACCTCTGCCCAAGGGAAGGGCCGGCTAACCGGTGAGGTGCAGAGGCTGGGTTCTCACTTCTGCGTGTTCGCATCTACTTCTGACTGTGAAGCTAGGAAGGCGCGCTTCTAACTTCAACTCTGACCTGCGTTCGTACTGAGAGAAATACATGTCTAGAATGAGCCTTAAGTGCATATCATCTGTGACCCCAAAACCTCTATAACTCAGCGTTAAGGCTATTGAGAGAGCATATGGTTTCAACTGATTTACATTAACAAAAGCTCATAAAGATTGTCTTAAAATTAGCATTACAAATTGAATACATGGCAAAGTTGAATACCCGATTGCAAAACTTACATTACAGTCCGTCCTTTGAAATAAGATCAGGAGACTAATCATAATGTGTGAATTTATTAGAGTACATGACTCAAAACCATAAAGCATTAATCACATGCAGTTCGAGACATTCTGGGTCATCAAGACACTTGCTTTCACACATGATGTAATTAACTGAGCTTCTTGTATGAAAACTTACCTATTTTATGAACTTTAGGAAATCTGGCTAAAACCAATAAATTACGTTACTTCACATTTATGGGTGCTATAATTAATCAGAAAACAAATTAAGTTCATAAAAATCCCTGAAGACAATTATAGAAAATTTGGGCTCACAAAGCCATCACATCACATACAAAGCTATTATCATCTGTGCCCAAATTAAGAGTAGTGCCCAAAATAAAGAAACAAGAGGGGTGCCTGGGGGGCTCAGTTGGTTAAGCGTCCAACTTTGGCTCAGGTCATGATCTCACAGTTAGTGGGTTCGAGCCCCGCATCGAGGTCTGTGCTGACAGCTCAGAGCCTGGAGCCTGCTTCGGATTCTGTGTCTCCCTCTCTCTCTGCCCCTCCCCTGCTCACACTGTCTCTGTCTCTCAGAAATAAATAAAACATTAAAAAATAATTAAGAAAAAGAAAGAAGATTACTGACTACCGAAGCAAACCCCAGCATAAAGCACGGGCGCTCAGACAGCAGGGACATAATACGTAGGTTAATGGTATCTCACGACGGGATTAGGTCTGCCTGCTCCCAGCTATGAGGGCATCTCGAGTCTCACTAATGCAGGACAAGCCATCGAGTTCGGCGCCCTCCTTCCCTAGTCACCGGTAATGCGAAGGCAATGTTTAGTGGAATTTAGAAAAAATTATTGTTTGTGAAGAGGGCTCAGAGGAAGGTTTTTTGAACTGCTCAGTGCAGTTCTTTGAGGGGCAAGGGGCATGTTCATTGGGGCAACGGCAGGCCCGGCCCATGGTACCCAACATACGCACCCAGTCAGAAACTCAGAACCACCTTCTTGCAGGAGGTAATTTTGATTTGAACCAGGAATAAGGGAGCATCTGAGAAAAATGTAAACCTTGAACCTGCTAACATTCATTAGTGAGTTACCCAGCAGCACTGTTGGATTATTTATAATTTAAAAAGCTTTTTTTTTGTTGTTTAGAAGACATTAATAATCATTACTATTCTGTGTGCTACGGCTAGTTATAGTTAGTACAGCTGATGACAAATTGGACCCAAAGGAGCAGTAATTTAGAGAAGATAAAAGGAGAACATAAAATTCCAGCCGAGTTTGGAGTATGCAATGGAAATACTCATCGGAACAGTAGCGGGAGATGATAATTCTGTGCCGTGTGGCAGGACCACGTAACTCACAGTCACCACACAAACAGGAGCAATTTGTTACTATCTGACGAGACGACAGTGACAACAGAATACAGCCGGGTTTGAAACAGGTCATAAAAACTTCCCAGAATGTTAAAAAGAAGAAAAAAGGAAAAAGGAAATGGGGACTCAGAAAAATAATCCTGTAGCTGTGAGTGACAAGTGGAAGACACTGCCGTTTCCTCTGCAAGATGGGAACTGCCAATATGATTATGTACCACAACACTCTGGACCTTCTGGAAAAGTGTGATGTAAACTCACACTGCTTCTGGGAGTAGAGAAAAAAAAGGTCCCTTTTGAGAACCAGGCTGCCTCTTACTACTGACTTGGCTGACTGGCATGAAGTCCCAGGCTTACCGTGACCCGGGTGCAGGAGCTTGGCGGCCCACCGCCGGGGGTCGGGAGCCCAGGCTCTCTCTGGCCCTCTCCTTCCACAAACTGCTGGCCAAGCACAGGCCACTTAAACTCGTGCTGTCAGCCTGTGTCTTCACAGTAAACTAATCCCTGCCCTGCTCAGGTATGAAGTTCAAGTGAAGCCACTGACACAAACTTTACTTCGGAAACTAAAAGCTGCCAAACAAAAGTAGGGTATTAGCAGTGGTACCACCTGAAAGGGCGCTCCACTAAGTCTTTATACTGTATGTGCCTGCGTGTACGGTTGTGTACACGTGATGGTCCAGCAGAGACGTTAACATCACAGTTCATTACAACTGACCCTTACTGAGCACCAGTCGCACGCGACGCACTGAGCCCTTTGCCATGTGCTTCGCTGGATCTGCCTGGCAGCCTCACGCAGTGGGACCACGCGCTCAGCAGCTCTCTCATTTGAAACATGAGGTGCTTGAGGTTGAGGAAGTGAGGTCACCGGCCCCAAATTACAGAGCTGGTATGCGCGGCTCCCGCACGTGCCCACGCCACCGGACTGTCCCCGACCAGAGCCAGCACGGAGGGAAGAAGCTCGTGGTGCGACTTCCGCTTTGCTCACTTTCCAGCAAATCCCAGGGACGCCAAGGCTCCTGGGGGAACTATGTGTCTTTCCAGCACCCACGAAGGCAGTCGTAAGTGAGTTCTGGACTCAGAAAATAAAAAAGAAATCTTTTCTATATCACTAGCAAAGAGGGAATACAAAAATAGAGCTCTTTTTATTATATATAGTTGGCAAAGAGAAACTGGAAGCTTCAAAAAAAATTCGCTATCTTCTGGTCTTATTCAAATTGGATCAACATTATTAGTTTAGTCCTTGTTTGGTGGAAAGCAAACCAAAGGAAAACGAAAAAGCATTGTTTAGAAAGTAACACCAATAAAATATAGATGTAAAAAAAGTGATAAATGATGAATTTCACAGTGAATAATAAAAAGAAGATTCAAAAGATTCAAAGCCAAGGTTAGATTCTTTGTTTTTAACTACCAATTAAAATGAGAGTCATCTTCATCATAAAAAAGTTTGCTGCTGCTGTAAAACATACCACCCCCATATAAAATAAACTTACCTTTGGTTTTTTGATCAGCAGCCTGAAAAAAAAAATCAGAAACTCTTTAGGAATAATAATGTGTAGCATGTGCACATCTATGAAAGTTTATAAGCAGACTTTAATACTGGAAATTTTAAAAGCAAATTTTTGCCCAGGTGATATTAAAATTTGTTAATGGGAAAAATGTATAACTGTCTACGTGCTATTATATGCCAACAGCGATCTCAAGGCAAAAAACCCCTCACCTATCTGGAAGCTCATCTGAGCTCGGTACGGTGATCCAGACTAAAAGGCACACAGTTTAAAGCACAAGACACATTAAACTAGGCAAGGACAACAAATGGCATAACCCGGTATGTTAAATGCCACAAAATTCAAATGCGACTGTAAGATTTACAGTAGGGCTTTTAATTTTTAACATTCACTAACAGGATTTATAAAAGAACATTGGCCAAACCTGCAAAACTGATCTCTAGTTTCCCTAGTAAAATCGGTTACGTGGCCCTTCCCTCACTTCCCGGACACAACTGCCCCGGATGGGGCGCCACGAGCCGAGGAGCATGGATGTTCTGCACCAGCAACAAAGAAAATGAGACTCCTCTCAAACGCAACACTACATTCCTAGCTCCTGAAGACAGACACTCGGTGGCCATGACCCCGCATTCATTTCGCTAGTGTAAAATCTGTGTTTCGCTAAGCGCAGATTTGGCGTATCGGTTTTGAGAGGTCATCAAATGAACCTCTGTGACATAATGGCTGGGATGCTGCAAATGAGGCCTGTGGCGATTACAGTCAATGAGGTGGTAGTTCTGGCCAAACCTTTTTCTGAGCACCTTCCTTCTTTTTCTTTTCTTCCTGCTTTTTCTTTTTCTTTTCTTCCATCAAACGTTCCTCTTTTTGTGTTTCTTGTTCTTTCTCCCTGTTAAATGTAAAGAAAGATGGTATTAGTATAAAGTCCGTTTTAACCCAGACAGTATGCAGAAGGGCCCTCTGGGAAGAGGCGCTAACAATGGGGCCCTTCTCTGGGGCCACAGCCAGGTGCCCCAAGCGCATTAGTGGTTCAGCGGTTGTTCATCCGGCCCACGTGTCAGGTGCCATGCTTCCAGAAGGCGGCGTGTTAGGCGATAAGGGCACGACGTGCAGTAGGACACCGGTCACGCGGTCCAGCCCCAGACCTGCCGCTCTCAGCACTCAGAGCCACACCGACAGCACCCGGAGGGCACCTATCAAAAACGCAAATTCCTGGGTTCCACCCTAGCCCAACCAAATCAGAATCTTTGGAGAGGATTTTTTAAAAGAAAAAAATTTTTTTTTCAATTTTTGAGAGAGAGAGAGAGAGAGAGGAGGGAGGGACAGAGAGAGGGAGACAGAGAATCCCAAGCAAGCTCTGCACTGTTAACGGAGAGCCTGAGGTGAGGCTTGAACTCTCCTACCGTGAGATCACGACCCTGAGCTGAAATCAACAGTCAGATGCGTAACCGACTGAGCCACCCAGGTGCCCCGAAAGCAGTTACGTTTTAAGCAAAGATTCCTACGCAGCGTGATGAGCTACCGCAAGGCTACGCGGGAACCCGGCCCGGTCACAGCACTCGGGAGGGTCAGCCCTGTTCGCTAGCACTCGAACATTGCAAACGCATCTGGCTGGGATGGCGTCATGTGTCAGATACCCACGCACTGCGGGGCAACTCCACATTCAACTGTCACACACACTGCTGTGCGGTAACTGGGCGGGTCCCTGAAACATGTCTCCCTCCCAGTGGGCACAGCTGAGCGTGTAGCTAGCTGTGAAGACGCCAGCGATGACCCCGGCCATGGGCCAGAAATTGGGTCCCTCCGCAACCCTGCAGCACGTGGTCTAGTGTCCCCTGCCCGTGATCCTCTCGACAGACACCTGTGCTCCAGGCCTCTTGCCGCACCGCCACTCCTTCCCCAGCATGTCCACGCGGCCGGCCTGCCAGCAGGAGGGCTCCCACCGGGGCCCTGCTCCCAATACTCGCTCCTGGTGCTCCCGTGTGGCCCTACGCCTGGCTACTGGCCGTGGCTTTCCCACGCACTTTCCAGCACTTCCTGCGGCCCAGCACCCACACACTCGCTGCCCTGGGCAAGCCAGGGAGGGGCTGGGCCACCCAGTGGGCCGCAACTGCACCCCGTCAGGGAGTCTGAACCCCGGCCTCGCTCGGGCACCCCCTCAGCCCGAGGGGCCATGTGGTCTCTGCAGTGACTCTTCTTCCATCTCAGCCTCATCTCCTTTGTAAGAACCTTGGCCTGTCTGCGCTACCTGGCCGTTCCTTCCTCCTGACCGGGCCCACATGGATACCGGCGGGAAAGAGGGGTCACCAGACTAAACAGGAGGAGCGGTGTGCACAGAAGCCTCAGGAAAACCTCCCCCAAGCATACATTGTTATTTTGATATGTGTACAGCTACATGCATAAGAATTTCAGCCTGTCAGTTTGCACATATTTACACACTATCGTAATAAACATAATTCAAGTCACCACGGGGTGGGGAGGACCTTAGAGAATATGCTTTATTTTTAAATTTAATTTTAATATTTATTCATTTTTGAGAAACAGACTGTGAGTGGGGGAGAGGCAGAGAAAGAGGGAGACACAGAATCGGAAGCAGGCTCCAGGCTCCAAGCTGTCAGCACAGAGCTGGATGTGGGGCTCGAACTCAGGAGCCGTGAGATCATAACCTGAGTCAAAGTCGGACGCTTTACCGAGTGAGCCCCCCAGACGCCCCGAGAATGTTGCTTTTAAAGGAGGACAGTACGTTTATCAAGTTTGGGAAATGGTTACTATTCATTATTTCAGATGACACTTTCCAGGAATATTTTCATGTTAAAAGGTGTGGAGACACTAAGAAATCTGCATTTAAACATTCTAACTAAGTCCAGGCAGGCCTTTGAGTGACGGCGACGTACAGGCAGTGGTGTGGCGACCACCACACTGCTGCCACATGTCTTGGGGAAAAGTGAATAAATAAGACCCAAGTCGCAGTTGCCTACCTCTATTGTTATGTTTGCTTAATCTACAGTACAATGAAGACCTTAAATTACCGTCAGATAGTAAACTTAATAAAACAGGCAAGTATGGGTACATTTTTAAAAGGTATTCAATTGGAGCGCCTGGGTGGCTTAGTTGGCTGGGTGTCCAACTTTCGCTCAGGTCATGATCTCGTGGCCTGTGGGTTCGAGCCCCGCATCGGGCTCTGTGCTGACTGCCAGCTCAGAGCCTGGAGCCTGTTTCAGAGTCTGTGTCTCCCTCTCTCTCTGACCCTCCCCTGCTCACACTGTCTCTCTCTCTCTCTCCTAGAAATAAAAAAAATAAATAAAAAAAAAATTAAAAAAAAAAGGTATTCAATTGAAATGAAATAAGAATGATTGCAATTAATTCTATTGCCCTGACAATTAAAGTAATTAGAGCCAGCTACTCCGCCAGCTGCACAGTCAGGTTTCACTGTAACAGTAAAATAAATGTAAATAAAGAGCCCAGGTAGCCATGAGGTGTCCTACGCCCACCTGCCAGACCTCATGGTCATAGGACAAGGCACAATTCAGACATATGCTCTCCAGTACAGTCTTCTCTAATTTCTCCCAATGAACGGTATCTTCTACCTCAGACTCCAGCACACAGTTACTGCCATTTCTCACTAAAATGTTTTTTAAAAAATCAACATTTTAAATGTGATTTAAGTGTGATTCAAATGTGATTTAAAAATCACATTTTTATTTTTAAAAAGAAAGACATCTTCCATAAGTATACTTTCTTTCCAAGGGATGCTTTATTATTACCTGAAATGATCAAGTAATATTTAATAAGATTCTATCTACCTTTCAGGGCTAGTGAGAAGATTATAAACTTAGATTCAGAGGGGCGCCTGGCTGGCTCAGTTGGAAGAGCATGCAACTCTTGATCTTGAGGTCCTGGGTTTGAGGAAATTACTTGAAAAGAAAAAAAAAAAAACAATAACACTTGGGTTTTGGTAAATTTCTTGACCTACTGGAAGAGTAATAAACTAACATGTATCAACTACACGGCTGACCCTTGGATACTGTGCAGGTTAGGGACACCGACTCCCCAAGCAGTCAGACATGCACATATAACTTTTTTAACTCCCCCCAAATTTAATTACTAATGGTCTGCTGTTGACCAGAAGTCTTACTCATCACATCAACAGGCAATTAACACATATTTGTATGTTATGTGTATTCTATACTGTATTATTATAATAAGGTAAGCTACAGAAAATGTAATGTTAAGAAAATCATAAGGAAGAAAAGATATATTTACGGTACTATATTGGGTCTATTGAAAATAACCCCTGTGTAAGTGGAGCCCCACAGCTGAAATTCCTGCTGTTCAAGGGTCAACCATATAGTCAATCAATATGCTTGTTATGTGGGACAGGCATGAGACGGACTTACAAGTTGAGCTTCAAGGAGAAGAAAGAAATGGGATTGGCGCTGGGTTAGGAGAATTACATTTATAAGTTTCATTTTTAATTTCAAATTTTTTTAAAACATTTTATTTATTTCTAGGAGACAGAGAGAGAGAGACAGCATGAGCAGGGGAGGGTCAGAGAGAGAGGGAGTCACAGACTGAAACAGGCTCCAGGCTCTGAGCTGGCAGTCAGCACAGAGGCCAACGCGGGGCTCGAACCCACGAACCGTGAGATCATGACCTAAGCGAAAGTCGGACACTTAACCAACTAAGCCACCCAGGCGCCCCAATTTCAATTTTTTAAAAAAAATTACATCTAAATACACGATTGTATGCACAAGTATAAGTATAATCCTGTATTGTTTCTAGCATACTCTGCGTTTTTAGTTTCTCATTTGCTTGGCATCCCCTCACCCATTCTTCCTCCTCCCTCCACATCCACAGTAAAGCTCCACTCGCCCCCACAGCCCTTCCAGATAACCCACATTAAGCACCTAGTTCACACCCTTCCGGGTCTGTCTCCATGCTCATGTGATTGTATGGAAACATACATACTTACACATTTTTTTTTTTTTTTTTTATTTCTAGGAGAGAGAGAGAGAGAGACAGCATGAGCAGGGGAGGGTCAGAGAGAGAGGGAGTCACAGACTGAAACAGGCTCCAGGCTCTGAGCTGGCAGTCAGCACAGAGGCCAACGCGGGGCTCGAACCCACGAACCACGAGATCATGACCTAAGCGAAAGTCGGACGCTTAACCGACTAAGCCACTCAGGTGCCCCCATACTTACACATTTTTTACGAAGCATTTTACTTGGTCAGTTCTGTAAAACTGGGATCACATTTATAAATGTTTTGCATCTTGCTTGTGAATCTTCTCATCCCTTCCCCCAACTGATATATCTATTATTACCTTTTTTAAACATTTATTATTTTTGTGAGACAGAGGGACAGTGTGAATGCAGGAGGGGCAGAGAGAGAGGGAGACAGAATGTGAAGCAGCTCCAGGCTCTGAGCTGTCAAGCACAGAGCCCGACGCGGGGCTCAAACCCATGGCCTGTGAGATCATGACCTGAGCCCAAGTCGGGTGCTCAACCGACTGAGCCACCCGGGCGCCCCTAATCTATTATTATCTCTGATGGCTACATAACATACCGGGGTGTGAACATCATCACATCCCACCCAACCACTCCTCTGTTGGTACACACACACCTCCTCTCTGGTTTATTACCACCACCACAGACAGCTCCAGCGCCCCTGCCCAGCTTCTGCTGAAGGAAACAGCACTGCACTGACCGGTGGCGCAGCGCGTTTCAGTAGTAGAGCAAACCAGGCACGGACAAAGTCTGACCTGGGGCTCAACTTCTGGACGTCAAACTAAACACGGGGTCGAACTGGATGA